GGGGGGGGGGGGGGGGGCATGGCACAGTGGTGTCCCGTGCGTCAACGGCCGTCATTTAGGCATGGCATGTAGTCAGCGATGCCGGTGCTAATGAATAAAGCGACTAAAGTACAATTACTTAGGCTTACTTCCTTGTATCAATCCGCAAGTATGGTGCCATCGGTAGTAGTGGCAAAGAAGCGAGCGCCAGGCGTAATAAAAAAAAGTGGTGTCGACCCGAATTTGAAAACAAGATGGATGTGTGCAGACGAAACAGCGAAATTGAACATACGGATACGGTCACCTTTTAGCGACAAGAAAACACAGACCAAAGTGCAATAACATTTACGGTTCATGCATGCGCGGCAATGTGTGCAGCATGAGATGTCACAGATAACACAGCCTTCGTGTGAGAGATCTTTCAAACGTACGAGTGCGCGAATGACGAAATGTCCTGTAAGCACCCCAGTTGTACTACAATCATCGTTATGATCACCACCACCGCCGCTGCCGCCACCACCACCATCACTAGTATTATTATCAGCATTACCCATCGACAGTGCCAGAAACATGGTAGGCACAGATACCAATAGCAACTGCAACAGGAGTTCAAGCCGAGACGAATGGGCATGCGTTTATGGAAAGTCCAGCCTCCATAGTATCCGGCGTACAAGGGAAACCTTCTGAGTTCACAAAAATGGTCATTCGGAAATATTGGCAGGAACTTGGACCTACCATCGAATTATCTAAAATACTGCTACCGGCGATGGCTATTACACGTACTCGGAGCCGGGCAAGAATGTACACCGTCAGTTGCTGGGCAGTTGGCAGTAGAAAGAGATCTTAAAACTCCCCGAAGAGCGTAGGCGGGTCTGCCCAGCCCTGTGGCAGCAGTTATTATAACATGGGGCTGAAATGTCCGACGGCGCAGCTGTTATATTTGAACGCAGTCACGGTGAAACCGACTATCGTCTACATCGCTTCGCCGACTGCCACAACCCTGTTCCCGGACCTCTTTCAGTTATCAAACGGATGCTTAGAATGCCCAAGACCAGTAGGTATGCTTTCCGTCAAAAAACAATGAGAGGAAGCGTCGGTGGCGGCGGCGGCACTAATAAACACTTATTTGTCTACCTCGGAATTAACGACTGAGAGCCAGGTCCTGGACCACCTGGCTCAAGTTTCTGTGGTCCCAACTGACGCTCTCATTTCCATTAAAGTAAAGGCAAACCTGGAAGGGTTATCGGAGGTGATGCAGGATGGCAGGGGTTGTGACCCAAGTACAGAAGGCTATCCACATACTGGGAATGGGTTACACATCACTACGGTAAGCTTTTTCTTGCGGCGTCCCTGACCAATATGGATAAATACAGCTCAGTACATCAAAAATCCTTTTATCGGGTGCGATATGACCACGTCCATCAGCTGAATCTACACGTACAAGTGTCTGCGGATAACGCAACGGCCGCTTACTATCGAGGCATTTCAGTATGCGACAGTCAATTCCTTGTTGCATACAGCGGCAGGGATGTGGTTTAAGTGCTGCAAACCCTAGCCCTAGGCAGAGAACTAATAAAATTCCAAGCTAGATGAAGACAGGGGCTGGTGTAGCTTGAGCAAGACCTGTATCCACATTCGTTGAGATTAATCAGGTCACGCAACGGTTACATTCGACACCCAAAATCTTGCTGCACCTCAGCAGAAAAGAGCGGATTGTAATATTTAACAATTCTTGCAGACGACTTCACCGCTCGGTCCTACAATCACCGGCGTTCCAGAGCCTCAGTGTACGAGAGTTTTATTCAGTGCGTCATACACGTGGCTGAAAGACATGCCAAGCAGACAGTAACCGCTTTGATTGAGAGTAGAAGGCGATCAGAGGCTCCATTGTCTTTAATCGACAAAACGGGCTTCAGCAACCCAGCAGAGTCTTTTGAGCCACCCAGTTGAATATCGCTTGGAAATAGAACACATAGGGTGTTGGTGGCAGGCAAATAAATGTTAGAAACTAGCCGATCAGTTTGTCCAAGCAGCAAATCGAAAATAAATGTAGAGAGAGCTTGGAAGACGACAGGAAGACTTACCGTTTCTGCAGAAACTTCTGGTCCAGCTCAACCAGTTCGCCCTTGGGCATCAGGAAGACGTACATGTTCTGGGTTGGGAAGCGGGATTAACTAGGGAGAAAACAGCACGAGGGCATCCTTAAAATCGTTTGTTTCTCCGGCTGCTTAAGTACCCTAATTGGGATTGCATTTGTTGCCGCCAGTACAGGTTTAGTAGCCTCCATAGTCCACATCGTGAGCTGACATGGATATTCGAGGGAGGGCCTATGGTAAATGTGAGATAACGTATTCTGACCGCCTACTTGAGAACTTAACTGTTAAAGGCTATCAACATACGCGAGAAAAGCAAGTACATCGCTGCCGGCAATGACATTTCCCATGACGGAGACATCTCATAAATCCTATCCAATAAGGCGACGGAAATACTTCTGCGCACAGAACTCTACCATTACGGGGGTCCCCATCATGGCAGGAATCCCGACGTCGTCGTCGTCTAACACGTAAATTGCTTCGATAAAACGGGCGCATCGCCAAATGGCATCCTGCAAATTCGGCGTAAAACGAGATTCCGCGAAGACCAAAATGATGGCGGAAGAGTGAACAGCAAAGAGTGCAGTCCCCTGTTCCTGGAAACAGAGATACCCGAGTGTATCGGATCTTTTTTCCCAAGATCCCAACTGCGAAATAACCAGGTGCTACAGTCTAACAAATAAGTGGCAACAAATCAGAGCCGACGGTACTATCGGGGCGCAGAAGGCTGACTTTTGACAAGCCGGATAAATTGCCGAATAGTCCAAAGATCTGCATAACAGGACAGTCACGAGCCAACATAAAACAGGTTTTCTAGCGACAATCGCCGGCTGGTAGATTACCACGTGGAAGCTTTAGGAAGGTAAACTTTGACATTTAGCCGCGCGGGTAGATTTTAGCATCACGATTCATAATACAGCGTCCGCGACAATCAACGCGCTCAGTAACGCAGGCGAACAGTATGTGAACAGGATTGTTTAATCGAGAGCTGACTGTTAGAACTGGATAATAAAACGCAAGTCCGCTGACCCTAACATCAAAAGTCGGACATCGTGCAGATTTCATCAGCACGAAATAAGTGTCTATTGCCTGCCATAAGCTTGAATTCCAAACCAGGATATCAGGAAGTCAAGATGCGGGTAGGCAAATCCTACTTCACCCTATTAGATCAGGCCGTGTAAGTTCTCGGGGAAATACGATGTGACGATTGCACTCCCTTCACTGGCGAGCCATGTAGTACATGCCGGAGAACCAGCCAACGATCGGATAGCCTACGTATGACTGAAGGGGTATTTTTGTAATAACTTTGTTGTTTCTGCGTAAGTCACAAAATCACCTGCAGGACTAGGGTAACAATGATGCCTTCTACTTGCAGTTGAATGAACTGAGCAAGAGGCTTCTTCGGTGTTATCTGCTGAATACTTTTGACAAGCGTCAAGAGACTCTACAAGCGGCCACCTTGTTGGTTGTTTCACGTTTGGCTGCTTATGTGACACTAATGAAACGATTACGATTACTAAAGTCAACTGGTTGCCACCAACACCTGATTTATGAATAGTTGTTAAAGGCCAATATGGCATTTAAATGATACAGTGAAGGCCGTCTAGACTGACTATGACCTACACAATTCCAGGTTTCGAGGCAGATTGACATGTGGTGACGAAGCTGATAGGCTCTATGGGTCAGAACCATGTTTCCACTCGCAGAGGCCTCGAAGTTCACCGCGCACCCGGGGACCAAAGTGTTTTGTGCAAGATGTCTTAGTTTCAAGCAACTACAACAACCAAAACGACCGAGACCCCGGACACAAACTTTGTCTCTATTAGATCTCGAGTCAAATGAGTAGGCAGTAGCAAATGGTCATCAATGAAGAAAACGGTCTAGGAGGCGGTTGACAAAAGCCTTAGATTCGCACAGCTCAATCACTGTTAGAAACCTGAAACCGTCTCTTCAGACATCTCGGGTCGGATGTGTCCATGGCGAATCCATCAGTTAACCCAGTAAAATAGACACTGGAAAACGACACAAACTTATTTGTCAGGCTATTTGCAATTCCTCTCAGCCGGGTGATTCTGTTGCAGCGGAAAATGGGAGACTATGTGGCGTTCGTTGCTTTCGTGTAAATTAATTCCTTTTTTGCTGTTGGGACTTCATCTGATGAGATGCCGCTCCGTCGTTTCTTCCCCTATGAACTGTATATCTAGGAAGACTGAGTTAAGCAGATTGCGAACTCTGCAGCATGTTCTTCCTGGAGACAACAAACGTGTCATCAACGTAACGACGCTAAAAGATCGATTCCTGGTGGATAAAGAATAAGTTTGACCATGCGTACTCTTGCACAACACAACGTGCGTGCCTGCGACTGGTCTAAAGTGGAGATCCCAAGCGCGAAAAATCAAAGAGGCTGTGAGTGAACTCCCGAATGAGGGTTTAGCACTGTGTCCGAATCGCTTCCTGGTACAGGCAAACGAAGGAATATTGGCATGAAAACAAGCTAATTATCGAATAGCTCGAGTACGACTGGGAGAGTAATTTGCAACCATCTGCTGTTTCTGCCTAAGTTCAAAAATCACCTGCCGACCAGCGCGATAAAGATGCCTATTTGTAGTTGCAAAAAGTGATTGGAAATCTCCTTTACCGTAATCCACTAATCAATGCTGATGATTGGGGAAACCTGGCTAGATCAAGCGACTCTAAAGAAGTTCGCAACTGGTCCCTTGAAGTTTGTTTCTGGGTGCGACAGTGTTTAAAAGGTGCTGAGTTTTGCTGGTCGCAATCGGCTGTTTACGTCAGCTGACTCAGTGTCCAACGATAGTCTTGTGGTAAGTTGAATTGACTACCCCATAATCAGCTCCTGATTTTCTAACTGAATGCATGGCATCGATGAGGAAGTTTGGAAGTCTCGTGGATACTTTGGCATACTTGTTCCATGAAACAACCGAGCAAGCGTGGGGAAATAGGTTCTTCGTTGAGGCCTTCAATTCTGCGATACCTTTGTTGGATGACGGGCTTTGTAAAGGCTAATATAGTAAACATATGCTAACCAACGCCGCTCAAACCGCAGACATTTTCACGGACACGAGAAAATCGGGAATGTGATGAGTGGCATGTTCGTGATGTGTTAACTTGGCTGCTTCAATTTTTGGTACGGCCAGGGTTAAAGAAAGGAGTGTCCGAAATTCTCCGGATCTGCTGTCAATGACTGTCGAGTGTCTGCTGCTCCTCCCCGTGAGATGAAGCACGCCAGATCACAGAGATACCAGTGGCATGTTTGCAGTCTATCGGGCCTGGGCTTGCCTTAGAAGCATTGTGTGCGCAGAAGAGGATTTAGATTGAGAATGAGTAAGTCACAACGACTATAGTCGAACTCACAGGCAAGTCATCAACGATAATGGTACTTGTAATCGTGTTTGGTGGACGAATTGTAGTTAAGGGACGAAGAATGGAGCCGAAACACTTGTAAAGGCTATAACCAACGGTGTTAATGGAGGAAGATTCGGGCATCCGTCTTTGAAAACGACGTGTGGGAATTAGCTGAATTGTAGTAAATTTAAGTCAGGTTACTATAATAGGGGATGACTGGAAGTGGAAATAAGCCACCCAGCTCTATGCATCAAGGCACAGGTAATAAAACAAAAGAGCGCACGAAACAAAAAACGAGAGAAACATTTACCTATGTTCGAATAGTCGGTAGATAATTTGTTGGAATGAAAAATTGCAAGGGGTTTATGGAGACAGGTAAATAAACGGTGAAGAAATGCGGTATTTCGGAGACGGAGGATAAGGAGGTCAGGCAGAAAGTAAAAGTAGCTCCCAGGCAGAACGCCTTTGCGATTGGCATTACGGCCAAAAATGCAAGCCTTCAGGATCAGCTGATGGACGAAAATGGTGATTAAAACAATCACCCTTGTGGCGCTCATTTTAAACAAGATGTGATGAAAATCTGATCCCATACAATTGAGCAGAATCGTAGAGAATACGCAGATTCTCCAAATACATGGTCCATTGCTGCTGACGAACTTTCCAATGAGACCATGATGCAACCTGCTGCGGTGAAACTCCGTCCTGTGGTAAATATTAGTAGCCCAAATAGGACACCTGGCATTTTCGAAGTTGATTTTTTGCGTGCATGCCCCAGGACTGTTATAAACCGCACTTTGACAAAATTTAGAAATGTGAGGTTTTGGACAGGAAACAGCCCAAGCAAATGGGTACCGCTTAAGTCTTGCTGCAGGAATAATAATTATTATTCCTACAGTTAACTGTTTCGGGAAGCAGTAGGGTAAACTCCAGATATAAAACTGACATAGCTAAATAGCGACTAAGTTTTTGCTTGAGCTATGCTTGACGCATGAAGTAAGCCGAAAAATAAATCGAGCGGAGGAGTTGCAAATGCGAACGGGAAAAGCAGTGAGAATTTGGTGTGCACCGTTTTTGTGTTCCATACAAAATGCATGGTGACACTGACGTATATAGTGTAATATATTTAGGGTAATAGGCTGTGGCTTTGATGACTCTATTTAAAACGGTACATGCAATTGCATGTACTGACAACATTTTGATTACATACTTACTTCAACATAAATATTAATATTCATGTCGAAATAAATATGTCATTTTAATGTTGCCAGTAATATATACGTATCAGAGAAAAATGCCTAAATGGCGTGAATCTGCAACCCGAGCAACCGCAGTTTTTTTGGAAGATGGTCCTTTCTACATACATTTGCAATTACAAGCGCAAATATAGTCATTTGTGTGGTTTACGTTCAGGGATGCGTTGTACTGAAAATAAAAAAGGAAATAAATTTTATGGCTGGCCGTAGATAGTCCTGTAGTGAGAGCCATCGTGTATGGAAAATCGAATGTTCCTATTGCCTTTCGAATACGACCATGTTATTATATGTCGCCATTGAACTTGGAAGTAAGTTCACGGCCGAACTATCATCTTCCTGCAGGAAAGCTTTCGCGAATGACCGCGCGAATGATAAACGTTCGTAAAATTAAAGAGGTCTTGCGATTTGGACGAACGATCATGTTCGCAGATTGTGCGGAATATCCACAACAGATTGCACCTCACTTGTCCATAGGATAGGGGGAACATATTAAACTGGATCAGTCTTTCTGCATGTAATAGACTTAAGACCGTCCACCAGTTTTACGCCTGTCACTGTACCTGCTTGATGGCATCATCGGTCTTCTCCATTCAGAGCATCCAAGCTGATATTCCATATTTCAGATGCGGTTTGACGAACGTGCCAAATATCTCTGCGAAAAGTACGGGCGGGAAGACTACGAAAGCACGCCTTATCAAGTGCGTGATGCTGGTTGTCTTTTGGACGGCTCTTTTGCAGTGCTCGAAGGACAACAAGTTTGAACTTGTCCATACACTTAGGTCTCTGTGCATATCCACCTCTTTTAGTGGAATCCCATTAATACTGTGCTGGTGTTTTGGGAAGAGTCTCTGACTAGATTCCAGGCGCAAGACTAAAAATTTGTGTACATTAAACTCTAGAAGCCACACGTTGGATCATGCAGCCAGCTCATTGACGAATCCCTGTAACTTCTGCGCGTTGTGTTCGTTACTGATTATTTTCCAGGTTTTTATATTATCTGCAAGCATGATGGCATCCCAGTCAAGATTTTCAGCACTGTCATTACTACAGATGAGGAAGAGGAGAGGTCCTAAGACGGCCATTGCAGAACGCCGCCTTCTACTACTACCCATGTGGATGCATTGGTATCAGCATTTGCTCTTTGCGCCTACATGACAGGAAAATTTTAACCCACTTGAAAATCTTGTCCGTTTTCCATACTGCCAAATTTTCTGTAGGAGCCGTCCACGTGGCACACCATCAAACGCCTTTCTGAAGTCGAAGAAGAGGATATTCAGTGGAAGGTCCTGGTCTGTGGTTGTTGTCTAAGACATGAGTGACATCGACGAAATCCGTGCTCCGCAGACTTAGATACGTCCTTAAATGTTACTTAATGGGTCGTCCCATGACCCTGCACAAGATGCCGGTTAACTTCTAGGAGTGTAATTTTCGGACTCTGGCCTAGACCTGCCTTCATAGACCGCGGAAATACAGCCAGGTTCCCATTCCTCTGAGTGTTCACCTCCTTAATGAACTTTTGAAATCCCATAGACACTGCTTTGCACAGTACACCAGCCACTTCTCGAAGGGCATATGGATAACTTCCATTTTGACTAGGTGATTTGGCAGGCCTCATTCGGCGTTGTTTCGTATTTATCGCTGCAGGCGAGAAGTAAAGCTTATCGTTTAATGTAAACGGTGTAGGATTTTTTGTTGTCTTATGCAAATAACTTGAGTGGCTATGCAAAAGTCGGTAATTTTCGAGACGACAATTTTTTCAAAGTTTTTAGCGAGTACATGTGTTTTATGGACACCTCGACAGTTCTGAACGTCAGAACGACAGCCAGACTTAAATACAGGAATAATAATAATAGAAGATTTCGAATAGTTAGGAAAGAAGCCATTTATGAGAAATGCTGAAAAGAGTTTGCTAAGCAGAGGAGGAAAATCTGTCAGCTGTTTTACAAGAGAGATTGGGATACTGTCCGTACCTACTGAGTGAGAGTTAGGAAGATGGTTTGTCAGTTTTTGAATAGTTTCAGGAGAAAAATTAATGATGCTGAGAGAGGCATCAGACAACGGAGGAATTAAGGGGATTGGGTCAGTTTCAATAATGAAACGTTTAGCACAGAATGAATTTAACATTTCTGCTTTGCCTGACTTCTCTGTAATGAAGGCATCGTTGGCACTATGCAAAGGCGGAATAACTTGGTGGGATTTAGCAGATGATCTTTGACGGAAGATCTGAGAAACCGATTTTGAAGCATTCACGTCATTAATAGCTAAAGACTTTCTACGCCTATCTCGCGCAACCCTCATTTTCGAAGCTAATTCAAATATTTCGACGATTCTTAGATGAACTGCTAATGAGAATTAGATGGATCTTTAAACTGCTTCCCTAGCTTTTTAAGTCTGTTTTTAAGAAAGTGTGAGACAGCGGTGGAAGTGACACTCGAGTTAAACGTCTTCCGTGGAATTAGGTCGAGAAGTCCTTCTGTTACGCATAGTAATAAATTTCTGAAAAAATCTAGATCATTATTTGAAAAATATCGTACCAATCAAGAGTGCTTATAAAGTTATTTACTAATTCCTTGTTAACATATGCAAAGTCAAAACTTCTACGTTGTACTGTTGGCTTTGCGGAAATGACAACTGGAAGGCGACAATGGATTAATGCATGATCGCTTGCAAAAAGGTCATGATAGAGATCCATAGATAGAGGGATGGTTCCATTAGTAAAAATAAAGTCTAAAACACTATCGTTTCTGATCGAAGAGTGGACTAATTGAGACAAGTTTGAAAAGTGAATGGTGTCTAGAAGCTTCTGGAATTTAGGAGAGGAAGTATGTGTGTGCCAGTCAATTTCTGTCAAGTTAAAATCGCCTACGATGATCTTGACATCGAAACATGTCTCTGCAATTTTTTACAGAGTTCATAGAGTTGTCTTTCATCTCCGGAGTAACAAGGAGGATTGCATGCACTTTTGACTAAGGCTTTTCATATTTTGCAGAAGTATTATCGAAGCGAAACATAAATTTCCAGAGAAGGAGGAAACATTCAGGTCATAAAATAA